AATACAAGGATGGACTCCATGTACTAGAAGTTGTCCCATGTTGAAAAAGTACAATGAGATGTGTTCCAACTACTATAAAAGGAGCTCATGGGCTTGAGTTTTAATTGGTGTAATTGGGGTCGGAGAGAGAAATCTGTGTGATTGTAATAATTTTTCACATAGTGAATTTTTCCTTGCAGGTTGTGGTTTTTTCTCCAGTTTGGAGTTTTTCGATGTTAATTATTGTGTTTTTTTATTTTATTGCTTTCTTTAAAATTTTCAGTTATTTTCTGCTTATCCCTACAGTAGAAGTAGAGATTTTTTCACATCACTACCCTTATTCAAATCCCAACAAACATAATGCATAAAGGAAAATAACCTGAATTTCTTAGCAATTTCTCGAATCTCCCTTTATGCATTATGTTTGCTGGGATTTAAATAAGGGTAGTGATGGGAAAAAATCTCTACTTCTTTACTTGTTTCATTCAACATGTGTTTTGCTCTATGAAGAGTGAATTGCTTAAAGAGTATCGAACCCCACGAAAACTTAAACTTCATTCGATTTGCAAGCTAAAGATCTCTTAAAATCTCAAGAAGCTAAGCAAAAAGCAGAAAATACAAAATATATAAAATTTAACAAAATTTAACAAAATTATTTTTTTAATTAATTGATTAATCTTATCAACAGTATTATATCAAAGAATAAATATTCATTGCTAATTAATTATACCAATGAGTATGAAATCTGCATAGAAATGTTCCGACAATCTATTTCCGTTTTAGTCTTTTTTTTTACTAGGAATTCAAACCCATAGAAATATTTATCTTAATCTCGTTGAACTATACTTAAGATGACAGTACTATTTCTTCTTTATTATCGTCGGATTGTAAATTTCTAACACATAGAACAAAATTTTGAAGGTCCCATGGGTTGTGGGATATGGCAGATGCCAATAGAGTGGAGTTAAGTTTGAATAGAGGGAAAGGGCAAAGCCATGAAACGTGTGGAGGGGTTGGTTTAAATTGTTTATTTATTTTTAATTAAAAAGGGTTCAGATCGAGTGGAATCGAGCCCAATTTTTTAGACGTGCAAATTGAACCGAAAATCAGGTTTTGCAACATAATAATCCAACTCAGACTAAAAAATTATCTAACTCAATCCAACTTTACGATCTGGATTGGTTGTCGGGTTCTTGTGTTGGGATGTATACCCTAAGTTCGTGACATTATACTTTTCTATTTATCGATATCAATAGTGACATTTAAAACCTTTAAAATGCATAAACAATATCAGTGTGCAAATAAGTAAGGTATATTTCATTCGGAAAAAAAGAACAATTTAATATCCTATAATATTATGACACACTGTGGGAGTAGGACCGAAATCATTTATCCTTTTAAAAGTAAGATGATCATGAGTTTACGTAAGGGTAGATAAATCAATTTATACCTCGACCATTGAATCATTTGGAAAAAAAAATGCACATTGATTCAATTAATAAATTTTACAACTTTCTTTTAAGTGAATCAATTTATACTTTCTCATGTGATTTTTTTTTAAAAAAAAAATCGTTAACAAACATGCATGTGTGTATAGATTTCGGTTTTTGGGCCGAATAGCCATTTTCCAAGACGATATTGATTTTTATCCATATTTTTCAAAATCTATGTTTTCTAATATTTTGCTGACATAATCCAGATACGAAATGACCATGCCTGCCCCTCCAATAATTTTTTAGACGATAAATTGCAAAAACCACTCCTAAATTATAATAGTTGTTGCATTGGTTAGGTTATGTTAAGTTCTCATTTTAAAAAACAAACTGATGTTTTAATAAATAAAAATAAAATAAAATAAAGCCCTTCCTTGAGTTACATAATCACGCGTAACAAAGAAAAATCTTTCCACGTAACAAATAAAAATTTTTCCTGGGGAGATGGAGAATATGAAGAGTTTTCAAGATTTTTAGAAGAAGACAAAGGCAAAATCGATTTTTAAACAAGATCACTACTTGTATTCCAGTTTCGATCATAATATATATGCTCGACTTGGGAGTGTTCAATGGTAAGTAATCAACTTGATAACAAGAATGGTGCATATACAATGTTGTGACGTCGATCAACGAAAACTAATTTTGTGAGGTTTCTTCTAGAAAAATAACAGTAGTTTCATTTACTTCCACCTATGAATCTCTACGAGTGAACACACAAAAACAATTCAACAACCTTCCATCTCCACTCTTGCTATAATATCAACATCAAGTGACTTAACAATAAAATTGAGAAGGAAAAGATCAAAACTCAGCTGCGAAACTCTACCGTCAAACTTATGAAGATGAGAAAATTTAAGAAGATGATACTCAGTTCTATATTAACTAGTGATCTTGTTTAAAATCGATTTTGCCTTTTGTCTTTTCCAGAAATCTTGAAAACTCTTCATTTTCTCTCCCTCCCCACGAAAGATTTTTGTTTCTTACGCATGATTTTGTAATTGAATGGTTTTATTTTATTTTTCTTTTTATTTTTTAAAACATCAGTTTGTTTTTTAAAGAATAGCTGAACGGAAGGTTAACCAGGTCAACCTAACTAACAAGTTTAATTTAAACCACTATTTAAGTTGGAGGGTTTAATTTTTATCATTAAAAGTTTGTGGGTGTCTTGCAACAACTATGGTTGATTTTTGCAATTTACCCTTTTTTAGATTTCCCTGAATTATTTTTTTTTTTTAGATTTTTTCAAAAACATTCATGAACATCAACATTTTTATCGATATTTCTATCCACGTCAAGATTTAAAATCTTAGATATTATTATTAATTTAAGGTTTTAATTGATTCAATCAAAAGTATAAATTGAGTTTTTCCCTAAAAACTTTTTTCGTCCTCCAAATTGTTAAATTAAGAAGATGAACACCAACCAAACAAATGTTATTTTCTCTTATTTCTTACTATTTTCCACGAGAAAGGAAAAAAAAAAGGGTTTCATGTTAAATAGTCTTTTTGAAAAGTTCATTGTGAAATGTGGCACCTCTCCTCGTATGTTTTGTAAACATTTGTGGACATCACCGTCAATTTCAAATTACTTTCCTACCCCTCCATTAACATACTTAAAATTGTTACTTTCCCCTTCTTTTTTCATTTGAATTTCATATTTTCTCCCTCCTTCCCC